ATGAAGGCCATACAAAATGTTGTGCTACAAACAAACCTGATGCGAGTACTGTTGCGAAGCGACGCATACGACGCATCAGGTGAAGAGTATGATACATCTAATATACAAAAAAACTACAAAATCGTCCACAAAAACGAATACTCTACAGTCCGTGAGGAAGAAGGGGTGCGCGCCCGAAAACTGTAACGTAACAGTCCACATAGTACTCAGCTAATCCGTACTCAACAGTCCGCATTTCCCGTTCTGACATCAGAGAGCCACAGATCAACTTGTGAGCGGCCTGTGAAGTTCCCGCCGGCATTGGTGGAACACGACACCAGCGTCGCATCACCCGGTACAAAGCAGCCAGGACAGACGCGCGTCCCGTAAACGTTGCTGCCGCCAGCCCCATCCGACCCCAGTCAATGCTCTCCGGGACGACTCGGCCGTTGAAAAGTGCACCGAGAATCTGCATCTGGCGGTCACCGAAAGACGAGGCATCCAAATTGTCGTAAGGCACTGCTTGCCCAAGCTCCGTGTCAGGTTGCGGATCGTTGAAGCCCACGGGCTTGAGGTCGTAGCAAAGGCGGTCGAGCGCGAGGAACTCGTAGCGGAAATTGGTCTCGAATAACTCCCAAAGAATTTCCCGGCAAACATGCTGAGCAGGTAAAACATTCGGTTGTAGCTGTTCTCCTTGCCAAGTCGCCGACGCAGTAGAAAGGTTGGACAGGTCGACAGAGCCCTAGAGCGACAGGGTTATTTCAAGTCAAATAGATAGAAGAGAAAAAATCCACACCTGCATTGAACCGACACAATCTCGCTGCGGACTCAATTCGAGAGACCACGATACTTGGACAGTGGCTTGCCATTGAGGATCTTGTCCCCGAGCAGAAGATTGCGAAGTTCTTGCACAATCGGAAGTTACGGAAGAAGGATTTGAATGAGGACCTCTCGACCGACTGGACGGATTCGGATGCAGACGCAGACGGAGGTGACGATTCCTCGGAGGATGCTGCACCGATGGATGTTTCCGATTCAGAGGTGGAGGTTGTCGAGGAGGTTGTCGAGGAGGATGAGGTTGTCGAGGAGGACGAGGTGGTTGACGAGGATGAGGTGGTTGACGAGGATGGGGATGATGTTGAGGAGAACTTGTGGACCAAGAGGAAGGGGAAGGGCAAGGCTGTTGCACAGTCGGAGGAGATGGACTTTTCTGATTTCCGCGATGGTATGGATCCTGTCTCAGAGTTTGACACGGGTCATGATGGTGATGTTGAGATTGACGATGATGACGATGATCTCTATGAAACGATTGAGCAGGTAGTTTTGGTTCGACGGCGCAAGCCTGCTTCTTCACCTCAGGATACTACTGATATGGATGCTACTGATATGGATATAACTTGATACACTTACGACCTACTTACTTTAATCTTCACTGTCTTTATGTTTGAATTTGCTTGCTGATACGTGAGTATACTCGAGTATACTCGGATCGTACTCGAGTACTCGAATACTCGAGACTCATGAAGTACTCTCGAGTAGAGTAGATATTCGAGTAGAGTCTCGAGTGAAGACTCGAGTCTTGAGTATTGGGTTTGAGGTAAGAGTTACTCATACGATGAGTCCGAATATACTCGAGTATGGACTCGTGTCCATCTCTATTGATCAGGAGTCCGTTCTTTTTAACAAATTCTTTATTGACACAAGAACTTGTTGCTCCACTGTCGAGGAGGGCACTCATTTCCCATTCAGAGCCTGTGTGTACGCTCTCTATGGTTACTCAGAGTTTCATGTCCTGCCCCTTTGTTCCCCAGATGTACTTCCTCAACTTTTTCAACTCCGTCACAATTTCCACCGCAGCTTCCCTCGTCAGCGCTCTGATCGCCATCACCTTCTCTTCCGTTGCTTCTCTCTCTCTCCGCTCCGGCATCTATGCTCTCAGAATTCCCACTGCTCTTGGCACTTTGTCCTCTCTCAGCCTTTGTGCAACCCACTCAGGCGTGTTTGGTTCATATCTTTCTGAGAGAAGCAACAGAGGAGAAAGTGATGGCAATCAGAGCATTGACAAAGGAAGCTGCAGTGGAAGTTGTGACAGAGTTGAAAAAGTCAAGAAAGTACATCCAAGGAACAAAGGGGCAAGACATAAAACTCCAAGTAACCATAGAGAGCGTGCACACAGGCTCTGAATGGGAAATGAGTGCCCTCCTCAACAGTGGAGCAACGGGTTCTTGCATCAATAAAGAATTTGTCAAAAAGAACAGACTCCCGATCAAGGAGTTACCAGTCAAGCTCCCTGTCTATAATGTGGATGGAACCCTAAACAAGGGAGGGGTGATCAAAGGTTTTGTGGAGGTCCGGATGAAAATTGGTGATCACGCCAAAAAGATTGAGTTGGCTGTCACCAACCTTGGCAAAATAAGCATCTTTTTGGGGTTAGATTGGTTATGATATCACAATTCCACAATCAACTGAACCTCCATGTTGACTTTTAATTGAGCCACAATTGCTGCGGCTATTTACACCAATACAATTTATCAAAAGATGAAGGAGAAGATGTAGGAGAAAAGCTGGAAGAGGGAGAGTGTTTGTTCTGGAATGGACTGGGACAATTTTTGCACAAGCAATGAAAAGCTGAGATTACAACAGCCTTCATCCGCTGCTGCACCTTACATTGAGGAATTTTCCAATGTATTCAGCAAGGCGGACTTTGACAAAGTGCCAGAGCAAAGACCCTGGGATCACGCAATAGAACTCACGCCTGGTTCCAAGCCGGTCGACTGCAAGGTTTATCCCCTTAGCCCATCCAAGCAGAAGGCGTTAGACAAGTTCTTGGAGGAAAACATACACACGGGACGTATACAGCCATTAATTTTACCTATGGTGTCACCCTTTTTCTTTGTCAAGAAGAAGGACGGAAGCCTGCGATCAGTGCAGGATTATCAGAAATTGAACAATATGACAATCAGAAACCGATATCCCTTGCCATTGATCCAGGAGCTTATTGACAAGCTGAAGGAAGCGACATGGTTTACAAAGATGGATGTCCAATTGGGTTACAACAACATCCGAATCAAAGAAGGTGACAAATGGAAGGCAGTGTTTCGAACAAACTGTGGCCTGTTTGAGCCCTTAGTCATGTTCTTCGGACTTACAAACTCGCCAGCCACCTTCCAATTGTTCATCAATCAACTCCTTCAGAATGTGATTCATGAACAATTGGAAGGTGGCTGGCGAGTTTGTAAGTCCGAAGAACATGACTAAGGGCTCAAACAGGCCACAGTTTGTTCGAAACGCTGCCGAGAGAGGGAGAGAGGGCGGAGCGAGGCCAGCGATGGAGTGAGCGAGCGGAGCGAGCGAACGACAGAGCTGGGCGAGCGACGTCCGAACGACCGAACGGGTGAGAGACGCGTCGGGAAGAGAAATGCGAGGGCCGCGACGTTGGAGGCCAAACGTTTCGTCTTGTTATAGTTTACCTAGACGCTATTAGAGTCGGACGCGAGTATAGAATAAAAAAAGTACTCACGAATAAACTCATACTCATCATGCAAGCCAAGAGTATACTCGCACGTGAGTAGAGTAGAGTCTAGAGTCTATGGTGAGTCTAGAGTTTCAGTTTGGGGCCACGAATACTCGATAGACTCATACTCATAAATATTCGTGAATACTCATGAGTATTCTTATATTCGTGAGTATTCGTGAGTATTCAGCTCCTAATATATATTTTTTGAACAAAATGAACCCCGTGAGCATTGAACCCACGGAGCTCAGCCATTTCTGTGCATCAGCACAACAACGAGTATAACCACTGCGCCAAAAGGGCATATTCATTATACAATTTCAGTCCAGATCACACATAATTAGGTAAAATGCCATTAGCAAAAAAAAGGACAAAGGCCATGAAGGCCATACAAAATGTTGTGCTACAAACAAACCTGATGCGAGTACTGTTGCGAAGCGACGCATACGACGCATCAGGTGAAGAGTATGATACATCTAATATACAAAAAAACTACAAAATCGTCCACAAAAACGAATACTCTACAGTCCGTGAGGAAGAAGGGGTGCGCGCCCGAAAACTGTAACGTAACAGTCCACATAGTACTCAGCTAATCCGTACTCAACAGTCCGCATTTCCCGTTCTGACATCAGAGAGCCACAGATCAACTTGTGAGCGGCCTGTGAAGTTCCCGCCGGCATTGGTGGAACACGACACCAGCGTCGCATCACCCGGTACAAAGCAGCCAGGACAGACGCGCGTCCCGTAAACGTTGCTGCCGCCAGCCCCATCCGACCCCAGTCAATGCTCTCCGGGACGACTCGGCCGTTGAAAAGTGCACCGAGAATCTGCATCTGGCGGTCACCGAAAGACGAGGCATCCAAATTGTCGTAAGGCACTGCTTGCCCAAGCTCCGTGTCAGGTTGCGGATCGTTGAAGCCCACGGGCTTGAGGTCGTAGCAAAGGCGGTCGAGCGCGAGGAACTCGTAGCGGAAATTGGTCTCGAATAACTCCCAAAGAATTTCCCGGCAAACATGCTGAGCAGGTAAAACATTCGGTTGTAGCTGTTCTCCTTGCCAAGTCGCCGACGCAGTAGAAAGGTTGGACAGGTCGACAGAGCCCTAGAGCGACAGGGTTATTTCAAGTCAAATAGATAGAAGAGAAAAAATCCACACCTGCATTGAACCGACACAATCTCGCTGCGGACTCAATTCGAGAGACCACGATACTTGGACAGTGGCTTGCCATTGAGGATCTTGTCCCCGAGCAGAAGATTGCGAAGTTCTTGCACAATCGGAAGTTACGGAAGAAGGATTTGAATGAGGACCTCTCGACCGACTGGACGGATTCGGATGCAGACGCAGACGGAGGTGACGATTCCTCGGAGGATGCTGCACCGATGGATGTTTCCGATTCAGAGGTGGAGGTTGTCGAGGAGGTTGTCGAGGAGGATGAGGTTGTCGAGGAGGACGAGGTGGTTGACGAGGATGAGGTGGTTGACGAGGATGGGGATGATGTTGAGGAGAACTTGTGGACCAAGAGGAAGGGGAAGGGCAAGGCTGTTGCACAGTCGGAGGAGATGGACTTTTCTGATTTCCGCGATGGTATGGATCCTGTCTCAGAGTTTGACACGGGTCATGATGGTGATGTTGAGATTGACGATGATGACGATGATCTCTATGAAACGATTGAGCAGGTAGTTTTGGTTCGACGGCGCAAGCCTGCTTCTTCACCTCAGGATACTACTGATATGGATGCTACTGATATGGATATAACTTGATACACTTACGACCTACTTACTTTAATCTTCACTGTCTTTATGTTTGAATTTGCTTGCTGATACGTGAGTATACTCGAGTATACTCGGATCGTACTCGAGTACTCGAATACTCGAGACTCATGAAGTACTCTCGAGTAGAGTAGATATTCGAGTAGAGTCTCGAGTGAAGACTCGAGTCTTGAGTATTGGGTTTGAGGTAAGAGTTACTCATACGATGAGTCCGAATATACTCGAGTATGGACTCGTGTCCATCTCTAGACGCTATACTTATATTTACAAACACTTTGGAAGAACATAGGCACATCATACAACGAGTACTAGAAATATTATGAGTAAATAGCGGTCAAAGAAACAACGTCGAGGCAGATGTAGAGGACCAGCGACTACTCCGTGCACCAGACGCGCTACGTGTTCGTCCATACCCACTCTACCCCACGTTGACACTCTTTTCCGCGTTCACCTGATGTTATCGCTTGATTTCATGGCCAATCTTTTGGCCCGTGAACAGGGTAAATAGGACAGCGGCTATTGAGTTGATTATATGGCAAGGCAGGAGGAGGTCTACAAGGGTTTGAACCGCATTCAAGTCAGTCGTTATTTCATATGCTTGCTTTTATGTCTAATCTTCTTTCAGTAGGAGCGTCAGACCCATATCTGCCATTGCTGGGAAGAGCTTGACTCTATTTGCACCAGTCGGCTCTCGTCAGCTTGATTCACGACATAGTCATCCCGCGGGCTTCTCTTCGAACACAACATGCTGTCCTTTGGCACTACATTGCCCTTGACTCCAGCTCATCATGTTCTCGATATCTCGCGTTTACCCAGTCGGACATCGACCCGCCGACTTCGCTGCCACCTGATCACCGTTATCCTTTGCGCTATATCCGCCCGTCATTCGAAGAACAGGCTTGACCTCGAAGAGAACAGATATCTGTCCTATCTCGCGGGTGCTCTCTCCAGCCAGCTTTTACCGGACTGGAGCCGTGAATTGGAGTTAATGCGCTACACCTAACGGCAGTGTCTATTTATTGAAACACACCCGTATATACGCCGTCTATCCCAGCTCCTACCCGTCTAGATCCACTGCAACCTGTCAAGCGTCATCTAATCGGTCAAGCGCTGCAACATCAGTGTCGGTCAGGTTCTCGCAGGCTTAATTTACGACAAGTCGCCCATGTGCGATGGAGGTATGTCGCCGCCACCGTCAGGATTCGGGTCGTCTCTGATGTCGTTGCAGAGGCATGATCAGCCACGCTCAGCCATTTGTCGCGTTATAACGAGACGCATCTTGAGGAATGCCCGTTGGGTTAGGCGAGGATCCATTCAGATAGACTCATACTCCGAACCTTCTCCTCTACCATAATTAGAACTAGGGTTTGCCCTCGACGACTCCGGCTCGGTGTAGGACGGCTCTTGTTTCATTCTTTCTGTCTATGTCGAATCTAACACTCTAATGAATCTTCATTCAAACCACAATCTATATTTACATGCTACATTATTCGGAGTCACTCGCAGACACGTCCGAGTCGTCTAGCTCAAAAGTCTCATTCTGGACGCCTACTCTCCAGCCTCGGACATTGATTGGAGCAATCGGGCGACTTGGTCGTGCCTCTCTCCATGTCACATAGTCGCGAGCTCTCACTTCCTCAAGAGCCTCTGACTTATGCGCATCAATCAGTGAGTATACGTGCTCCGCAAAGGCTTGCGAGCCGTGAGCCTTCACCAGTCGAAAAAGCCTGAACGTGTCGTACGGATTGAACACGTTGAATGTATAATCCATTTCATGGATGACACACTAGTCGTGTCCTCAGTCAGTATTGAAGAGGCGTTGACTTGGTGTCAGTACTCACCTGTCCTTCATCGTCAATCCAGGCTAACACCATCGTTACGATGTTGCGATCGATAAGCAAGCCCATGACAGGCGCCTTGACATGATGGAGTTCCCAAAGAGCGAGCGCAGTTCGCAGCGCTATGGATAGATGCGCGAGGTGCTTAGATCTCTCGTTAGCGTTATTCGGTATCAAGATGTACTCGACTACGAGGACCGGCATTTGAACGTAGTGGATCCCGGTGTCGTCGCTCGAATACGTAGTGACGGTGAAATCAGGCATGAGAGGCGCGATTTCTTTGTACGAGCCCCTGTGTTTACGTAGAATAACGTGGTCGTCTGGGAGGCAGATTAGAAAGGCGCAGTTTGGGTGGAGTTCTTCGAGGTGCGATATCTCGTGGGCTGCATCCCGGATTCGTAGGTCCGGGTGAATGAGCCATGACGTGTTATGTCTATGAGAATGGGACATGAATAACGCGGCCTACTGATGAAGAAAGGCTTACTGCAAGACTACTTCTACTCCTTCGTCGTTCTGCCGCCACGCGCAAGAGAAGAGCGAATTGTAGAGAACAGTCCAATGATTCGAAATCAAATGTGAATCAGTAACAAGCCCCTGGAGATCTCTTGCATACAGGCAAAAGGTCAACGAGAATCTGACGTCGAAGGGAAGGGATGTGTCTGTGGCTGCGTGAGCGGGATCACCAGAAATCGATGCGGTGTGATATGACTCTGTGAAGAGGTCTAGAAGGTCATAGGCCCGAGAGGATAGTCCTTGTTTGCTGGCTTTGATTTGCTTCTGAACATTGTATCAGTCTTCCACTAGCCTGCCTTCGACATGAACTAGAACTTACCGCGCCGAACTCATCCGCGATCCGAGTGCGTTGCTCAAAAAACTCAATCCAGTCGTGAAATTCTCGGGGTAACATGGCGCTAGTGGTCCCTGTATGCACAAGCAACTGTCTGGTCTTGAGCCACTTGACGATATCCGTTTGAAGCGGAAGGGAAAACAGAAAGCTAACAATGGAACATCTGAGAAGACGGTCTAGCTTAAAGGGTTCAACGCACTTGAGCAGGACGTCCTCCACTACTGACGAAGGATGCATGGTGTCAAGTACACGCCGAGTGTGCTCCAGCCTAGTGGCCAGCCGTGTTCGTCTCGTTGGCCAGTCGACCGACTGTAATTCCTCGACCTGAGAGAGGGCTATGATCTCAGCGGAGATGGAGCTCGCGCTTTCGCGGAGGTTAGTAACAATATTCCGTATGTTCGTGATATGCAATGCTGTATGCAATAGCAGCGGCCTGGCAATTTCGCTTGTAGAAGAATCCGCCATGAGGACAACATTGTGTATGTGCG